CTTTACTTTTACAATTTATATTTAGCTTTAGAATTAGATTTACACACACACACACACACACACACACACACACACATATATATATATATTTATTTATAAATTCAACATAATCTGGTGTTGCCATCATCATCATGTGCCCTGCGAACTGGAGTAGGCGCTCATGCTTCTCCACAGATCAGGATCTCTGGTTGCCTAAAATAGCGCTCTTGATCATATCAACTTCATGCCATTGTTTCAGCCAATCCATCTTCATTTCTCTTTGTTTGCCTCTACCCCTCTTTCCACTGATCTTCCTAGTTGTTAGGATGTCGCCAGTGTCTCTCATCTCATTATGGGGCCAAAGAACAGTGCTGTTCTCCTTCTTACTGTTGTATATAGAGGAATACTTTCATTAGCTTCTTTCGAACAATAGCTCTTAGTTACTCTGGCCGTCGTAAGATTCGTCTCATAAACAATTCCTAAATTCCTCTTAATTTGTTTACTGACATTCTACGATTCGCTACCCCACAGCAAAATAGGCTCTGTGCAACATTTTAGCACAAAACGGGTTCTATTTAACCTTGTATCACTCTCTTCGTTGGTATCATGCGACTAATATACTGTATCACAGCGTGTATATCACTGATATACTGTATCACTGCGTGTATATCACTGATATACTGCATCACTGTGTGTATATCACTGATATAATGTATGATTGTCTGTACATCAGTGATATACTATACGACTGTGTGTAAATCACCGATATAATATACGACTGTGTGTACATCACCGATATATTGTATCATTGTGTGTAGATTACTGATATACAGTATAATTGTGTGTATATCATTGATATATTGTTTCAATGTGTGTATTTCACTGATATATTGTTTCAATGTGTGTATATCACTGATATACTATGGCATTGTCTTTACATCAATGATCTACTATGGCATTGTCTTTACATCACTGATCTACTATGGCATTGTCTTTACATCACTGATCTACTGTGGCATTGTTTTTACATCACTGATCTACTATGGCATTGTCTTTACAACACTGATCTACTATGGCATTGTCTTTACATCACTGATCTACTATGGCATTGTCTTTACATCACTGATCTACTATGGCATTGTCTTTACATCACTGATGTACTGTGGCATTGTCTTTACATCACTGATGTACTGTGGCATTGTCTTTATATCACTGATCTACTATGGCATTGTCTTTACAACACTGATCTACTATGGCATTGTCTTTACATCACTGATCTACTATGGCATTGTCTTTACATCACTGATCTACTATGGCATTGTCTTTACATCACTGATGTACTTTGGCATTGTCTTTACCTCACTGATGTACTGTGGCATTGTCTTTATATCACTGATCTACTATGGCATTGTCTTTATATCACTGATGTACTGTGGCATTGTCTTTATATCACTGATGTACTGTGGCATTGTCTTTATATCACTGATCTACTATGGCATTGTCTTTACATCACTGATTTACTGTGGCATTGTCTTTACATCACTAATCTACTGTATTACTGTGTGTATATTGAATATTAAATTTTTTTTGCGCACTTGAACCAGACTCAAGACCTTTTGGCCCCATTACACCAGAAAAACTAAGGGTGATTACCCCCCCCCCCCCCACCGACGCTCCGTCATTTCTTTTGCGGGAGCCCCTTCCTGATATTCTGCATCATTATCTACTGTAGAGATGTCAGCACATCAACTGATACATGTTGTGGCAATAGCAAAGAGATGTCAGCACACAAACTGATACATGTTGTGGCAATAGCAAAGAGATGTCAGCACATCAACTGATACATGTTGTGGCAATAGCAAAGAGATGTCAGCACATCAACTGATACATGTTGTGGCAATAGCAAAGAGATGTCAGCACATCAACTGATACATGTTGTGGCAATAGCAAAGAGATGTCAGCACATCAACTGATACATGTTGTGGCAATAGCAAAGAGATGTCAGCACACAAACTGATACATGTGGTGGCAATAGCAAAGAGATGTCAGCACACAAACTGATACATGTTTTGGCAATAGCAAAGAGATGTCAGCACACAAACTGATACATGTTGTGGCAATAGCAAAGGGATGTCAGCACACAAACTGATACATGTTGTGGCAATAGCAAAGAGATGTCAGCACACAAACTGATACATGTGGTGGCAATAGCAAAGAGATGTCAGCGCACAAACTGATACATGTGGTGGCAATAGCAAAGAGATGTCAGCACACAAACTGATACATGTTGTGGGTATAGCAGACTGATGCAATAGCAAAGAGATGTCAGCACAGAAACTGATACATGTTGTGGCAATAGCAAAGAGATGTCAGCACATCAACTGATACATGTGGTGGCAATAGCAAAGAGATGTTTCAGCACATCAACTGATACATGTTGTGGCAATAGCAAAGAGATGTCAGCACATCAACTGATACATGTTGTGGCAATAGCAAAGAGATGTCAGCACAGAAACTGATACATGTTGTGGCAATAGCAAAGAGATGTCAGCACATCAACTGATACATGTTGTGGCAATAGCAAAGAGATGTCAGCACATTAACTGATACATGTGGTGGCAATAGCAAAGAGATGTCAGCGCACAAACTGAGACATGTGGTGGCAATAGCAAAGAGATGTCAGCGCACAAACTGAGACATGTGGTGGCAATAGCAAAGAGATGTCAGCACAGAAACTGATACATGTTGTGGCAATAGCAAAGAGATGTCAGCACATCAACTGATACATGTGGTGGCAATAGCAAAGAGATGTTTCAGCACATCAACTGATACATGTTGTGGCAATAGCAAAGAGATGTCAGCGCACAAACTGATACATGTTGTGGCAATAGCAAAGAGATGTCAGCACACAAACTGAGACATGTGGTGGCAATAGCAAAGAGATGTCAGCACATCAACTGATACATGTTGTGGCAATAGCAAAGAGATGTTTCAGCACATCAACTGATACATGTTGTGGCAATAGCAAAGAGATGTTTCAGCACATCAACTGATACATGTTGTGGCAATAGCAAAGAGATGTTTCAGCACATCAACTGATACATGTTGTGGCAATAGCAAAGAGATGTTGTCAGCACATCAACCTGATACATGTTGTGGCAATAGCAAAGAGATGTCAGCACAAAACTGATACATGAAACGCTGACAATAGCAATGAGCTGACAGCATGCATGTTAAATCAGTCATATCGATCATGTAAACGTCACTACGGATAACTTGAGGCGCACATAATCACGACAGTCTAAAGTTTCTCAATGCACTTAATGCAGAAGAGATTTGCAACCAGCCTACACCCAGCGAAGAAATTCCATAAACCATTTTTATGATTTGAATAGAGGCACAAAGTCTCAGCTGAATACAACAAAACACATCCTGTCTACTGGTGTGTTCTGAGAAACGACACTTGTGTTCCTAATGGGACAACTTGTTTCAGTTTCTCTTACAGAATACATGCTAGGCGTCTCCAACATCACACTACACGAGGACATGTCGCTGCGGCTTAAACATTTTGAATTCGTCATGACTAAAAACTTTGATTATGAAATAGGTTTTACGCCTTATTTCAGTTGCTTTTTATTCCCCCTTTCTATCTGCGTGTGTGCGCGCATATGTCTATCCGTGTGTGTGTTTGTGTGTGTATTGCGTATGTTGTGTGTCTGGGGTGTGTATGTGTGTGTGTTGCGTATTTTTTGTATCTGTCTGCATGCATTACCTATGCATTTATGTGTTGTGAGTTATGAATTATGAGTTTAGATTTGGGTTATCTTCTCGGCACCCCGGACATGTCCATAGGTGCTCAGATTCACGTTTCAATATATACATCAGCGTCCCGCGGTTGATAGTCCCCGTCCTGTGTTGGCAGACAAGACTTCTCAACAACAACAACAATTTCATTGCTACGAAAGAGGTGTCTCTTCTGCACCCCAGAATAATGCGCATTGCTTTATTTGTATGTGTTGAATGTAGGTGTAAGTGTTGTGACTGTTTTTATGTGTTGTGTCAGTGTTTATGTGTTGTGAGTGTGTCGTATCTGTGGATATGTGTATGCGTTGTGTAAGTGATGTATATATATATATATATATATATATATATATATATATATATATATATATATATATATATATATACGCTGACGCATATATATATATATATATATAAGATACAATTGTCGTGTAAAAGTTAAATGTTTGAAAAGGCCGATTTCAGGACAAGCCGGCGGGATCTCGAGGTCGGTGGATTTCAATCACAGCTGAAGTGGCCATAGGTTAAAGAAACTGATAACAACGTAAAACCACCTTTAAAAAAAACTGTCTGCTTATATATATATATATAATATGTGTGCGTGTGTGTGTGTGTGTATGTGTGTGTGTGTGCATATGCCACACATGCTCTATGCATTTGCGTATAACACGCTTTATAATAAAATACAATTGAGTATGCACAATGAGTGTCTGGATGGGTCAAATGTATGGCGGGCCTGCGAGATAAATTTGTGACCCACTAAAAATAAGTACGTTTATTAGTTTGTTCCTTCTTTTTCCCTCTCTTTCGTTCCTTCCCTCTTGCCAGTATTTTGTCTTCTTTGTATATTCATTTATTTATACAGCTTGTTTTTAATGCTTCTTTTCCAGAATATATATGAAAAGCAAATGAATGAGTGAGTGAGTGACTTTCTACCCCACCAGGACATCACACAAGCGATAAACACCCGATGACACAAAGTGCCACCATGTGGACGAGGATCACCGTGGAGAGGTCCCAGAAACCGCGTTCAGACATTTGGCCATTTTTATGGCCTGCCTATATTGCGGCCCCTGGCAAAAGCCAGAGTGGGGCTTCAAATAACAAAAAATTACGTCCTGAAAAGGACGTATGTTTAAAGATTACAAGCAAATGAATTCACTTTTTATGTTTTTATAGGCTTCGAGACTGCCTGAAGACTGTGAAACATATTTTCTACTATGGCCAATCAAGGGCAGCAGACAGAAAGAGACATGTTGTCCTGTGGTATCTGCGCGGGTTTGCTCAAGGAGCCTAAGACGCTTGCCTGCATGCACAGGTAACTACTGTTGTTGGTTATTTCTTTGATTTTTTTTTTATCAAACTGACACTATCACACGACACAGACACTCACAGATACATACACACACGCGCACACGACACAGACACTCACAGATACATACACACACGCGCACACACGACACAGACACTCACAGATACATACACACGCGCGCACACACACAGACACTCACAGATACATACACACACGCGCACACACTCACAGATACATACACACATGCGCACACGACACAGACACTCACAGATACATACACACACGCTCACACGACACAGACACTCACAGATACATACACACACGCGCACACACACAGACACTCACAGATACACACACACACGCGCACACGACACAGACACTCACAGATACACACACACACACGCGCAGACACACAGACACTCACAGATACACACACACACGCGCACACGACACAGACACTCACAGATACATACACACACGCGCACACACACAGACACACACAGATACACACACACGCGCGAACACACACAGACACTCACAGATACACACACACGCGCACACACACAGACACTCACAGATACATACACACACGCGCACACACACAGACACTCACATATACACACACACACGCGCACATACACAGACACCCACAGATACACACACACACACACGCGCACACACACAGACACTCACAGATACACACACACGCGCAGACACACAGATACACACACACACGCGCAGACACACAGACACTCACAGATATACACACACACGCGCACACACACAGAATGGGAGGATACAGTGAGAGTTAACAGAATACATGTTTTCTGTTCTAGATATTATCTATCGACTCTGTAGTTCACCATGGTGGCTGAATGAATCTACTTCTAGTGGCCTCTGACCATTCTCTACTCCTGAGACGCCTGATAAGCCACCCAGTGTTGTCATGTATGAAGAGTTTACGCGCCTTTCTTACTATGGCCTTGTCAAACTTAGCAGGACAGTACATTGTAAGGGGTCACTTCCATATTCACCAAGTACACTCCATGCAGTGTCTGCTTCAGCAATCCGTGAGGAGAATACGAAACCTTGGGCAGTTTTGGCATCCCCTGGCGTCACTGCTAGTCTTGTGGGTATGCCATCGTTGATACAGACGAACTCAAATTGTCTATTTCCCCCGACCTACCACATTCATAGCGTGTGCGTTAAAGTCCCCACTTACAAGGACTCGATCACCCGAGTTTTTTTTAAATATCTTCCAGCCAATCCTACTGCTCACATTTAACAAAGGACTCTTTATGGGCATTTTTATTTAAAATGTTTGACTTAACCCCCTCCCCCCTTTTTCCTCCTTTCTCCCCATCTCTGTATAGCCTGAAGCTCATTATTGTCCTGGTTCAAATGATTAATATCAAGTACATAATGTCCTATTCCCTTTATTTCATATAATAACTTGGCTAATGTTTCCCTTTCCTGGTAGATTCATGTATCTACTGTATCCTGGAAGATTCAGCGTAGCTGTCATAACTTTCTTTCAGCATTAGGGTGTCAAAATTATAAACTAGTTTTTCTTTGACGTATCCCTTCTGTGTCGCATTGCCGTAGCTCCAATAGCCTACTCTAAAAAATATCCCGATCAGTCTACCTGATTGGATCTAATTTTTCTCACGCCTGCCCTCGTCTTTCTTTTTCTTCTTCCATCACACATTTTCTTATTCTAACTCTACCTTCGATGCTGAGTGAAGAAGTTATCAAGATCACTGCATACAGTTGTAGAGATACACAAACTTATGTTGCTAACGCTGTTGTACACACTGCACACACGCGCACGCTTACATATTCATTCATGCTGACATAATCTACACACTTACACACGAACAGAAATAAATACCTACCTACACATGAAATAATATAACCTTAACTCTGACTGGATACAGTTTAAACAAGAGTCTAGGGGGAAAAAGGGTTTATGAGCCATGCGATTGATTCTGAGAGATCTAACTAAATCCTGTGTTGTCCACTTTCTGTCAGTGTTGGACAATATAGCGAGTCCGTGAATAAAAGGACACTTGACATATGGCATGTACTGTTTGCTTCGAAAACATTCCTAACCAATGACATGTACTATTTGCTTCAAAAGTATCTTTGGCATATGACATGTACTGCTAGCTTAAAAAAACATCCTTGACGGATGAAATGTATTATTAGCTTCAAAAGCATCTTTGACATATGGCATACCTGTTTGCTTAAAAGACTTCATTGACAGAGAACGGGTACCGTATGCTTCAAAAACATCCCTAACAGATAGCTATGTACTGTTTGCTTCAAAAGTATCTTTAGCATGTGGCATATATGTTTGCTTTAATAATCTCCTTGACATATGACATCTTCTGTTTGTTTCGAAGACATTTTAAGTACATCGTTTACTAACTTATATCACACAGATTCTGTGAGAGATGTCTCAAAGATCACATCATAACCGTGACTGCGAAAGGTACAGGTTCCAGGCCAGGGTTTTCTTGTCCAGAATGTAGAGAATTCATCCCGGCTCCAGGCAACTCTAGCATCCCATCAACCTGGGCTTCTCTGTTGAAGACAGACTTCGTCATTCAAAGTTTAGTAGAAGTTCACCAGCTACAGCAAGAGGTCAGTGTTCCCACAGTCAGCCATCCTTGCCCAAAGCACAGGGATAAAGAACAAGAACTTTACTGCTTTGACTGTTTGGTAACTGTCTGTCATCTGTGTGCAGTTATATCCCATAGGGCATGTCGCAAGATAGGTACTGTTGCCGAAGCTGCACAACAGCGTCGAGCTACTTGGCAAGAAAACGCGCGGCAAATATCTGGTTTAATATTCGAAGCTAGAAATATTGAGAAAACACGAGACAGAAACATGAAGGCAGTAGCTAACAAAAAAAGCTGTGTTGAAGTCGAAATCAGACAGGCAGCGGAGAGAATGCGCCAGGCTGTGACAGGCGAGGAAAAGAAACTCATACATGAGGTACAGACCAACTATGACGCTCTGCAACAACATGATCTGAAATTTTGGGAGTATATCATCAACCTGGAGACCTTAGAAGCCAACGTGGTAACAAAGTTGGCATCGTCCTCAGATTTCGATTTAATTGCAGACAGTGGTGTCTCAGACACATTAGATACTTGTAGGATAGAGAGCGTGGTGACCAATGGAGATTACCAACGTTACTATGAAAATCTTCAGGTTGTGCAGTACAGTTTTCAGCCGCACAGCACTCCCTCTTTGAGTCCAGGTAAAGTTCAGTTTCTGTGGCATGCCCCCGGTTATGATGGCTCAGACTTCCCAGCGCCATCCTGCTGGCAACCTTCTACCTCAGTTGAATGGCAACCTTCGACATCGGCTGCATCAACAGTGAACCCTGGGTACCTTCTACGTCGGCTGCCTCGAACAGTTAACCCTCGGCACCTTCGACGTCGGTTGCATACAACAGTGAACATCGGGCACCTGTGACACCGGTTGCGTACAACAGTGAACCCCAAGCACCTTTGACATCGGTTGCATCCAACAGTGAACCCCGGGCACCTTCGACGTCAGTTGCATACAACAGTGAACCCGCGGCACCATCGACATCGGCTGCATCCAACAGTGAACCCCGGGCACCATCGACATCGGCTGCATCCAACAGTGAACCCCGGGCACCATCGACATCGGCTGCATCCAACAGTGAACCCCGGGCACCTTCGACATCGGTTGCATCCAACAGTGAACCCCGGGCACCTTTGACATCGGTTGCATCCAACAGTGAACCCCGGGCACCATCGACATCGGTTGCATCCAACAATGAACCCCGGGCACCTTCGACATCGGTTGCATCCAACAGTGAACCCCGGGCACCTTCGACATCGGTTGCATCCAACAGTGAACCCTGGGCACCATCGACATCGGCTGCATACAACAGTGAACCCCGGGCACCTTCGACATCGGTTGCATCCAACAATGAACCGCGCGCAGAGAATATTGTCGATTACTATATTTACGTTTAAGTCTTATTTAAATATATTTATATAAACAAAAAACAGAATGAACTTTATTTACAAAGATTTACAAATTGGGCTCACAAGCGCCTCTTACATTTCGTTCTTCCGAGCAATGATATTTTATACAGTTATTGTATTTTACATATCTGGCATACTGTGTTCATATATGAAAATTTATATCTTTATTATAATGTAAAAGTATAAAAATCAAGATGATAATTGCGTACATGCAAATATTCATGCAAAAAATACTCATGTATCGCAGACGCTTACATGCACACACGCACACATACACACACACGCACACACACACACACATATATACACAACACACCTAAACATAAAGAGGGGAAATGCATTGACGACACCCTCAATATAGACAGGTTTACATGCAATTACAGGAAAACTTATATACACACAAACACACAGACCCAACACATATACTCAGACAAAAACAAACACATTCACAATATGTACACACAGACACAACATACACACACAGACAACACAGACAACACACACACACACACACACACACACACACCGACACAAAATACACAGACATACGTACTCTCACAGACAAATAACATACATATAGACGCAACTAATGGACACAAAAACAATACATACATATAGACACAATACATTAACACAGACACAATAAATACACATACATACACAATACATAACTCACACAATACATACACACGGACACAACCAATAGACACGGACACAATACATACACACAGACTCAAACATAAGCACAACATTCCCAGACAAAGCACAAATAGACTCAGCTTACACATAGAGAAATACAATTCCCTCACACAACACTCAAAGATATAACATTCACATGCCACCACATACTCAAAGGTAAACACAGCCTCACAGACACATATAAACATACACAGTACACACACAGAAGCAACAATGCACATACACGACACTCACATAGTTACAATACTCACACACCCACTCACACAGACACATCCTGCCCCCACATAGACAATACAGACACACATATACCACATTCGCATACACATAAATCACACAGACACAGCACTTGCAGACACAACATTCATACATACACAATACCTATTCACAACGACACTTCAAATACTGACGCAGACACAACATACAAACATAACACTCACACTGACAAAATATACACACGGACATAGTAAACACGGAACAATACTCACTGCCACACACACACACACCACAAACAAACACAACACACCGACACAGCATGCGCACACACGAGGTAAACAGACACACCATACACATACAGACTGACATCGCGTATGCAAAAATCCACAATTGGTTATAAATTATAACTGTGTGATGGTACAGTGGAATTCAGGATGGCATGCAGTCATGATAAAGCATGACTTTAAATTAAAGAGCCGTCTGTTAAATGAGAAATGACTAGTTAAATTTTGGGTTAGGTTTACGCAAATCTACCAAAAGAAAATATGTCACTTTTCGTTTGCAAGTTTGTTTGGCTGGTCAACTTTTCTGAAGATTACAGGTATGCACGGCTCTATTGTTTGCTTTCTGTGGTGTCTGGCATTTATGTTTTCATTCCAAGAAAGAGAATGCCTGTGACATAAGTTGCAGCATTCTCTAGGGAGGTTGTATTAGAGCAAGTTGCTTTTGGAGCGTTAGAAGCGCTGACGCATTGAAATATTCAACACGCGATGTCAACGGCATCACGGAACACTCTTAAAAGTGGTGTAGTGTGTATATGAGCGGGGCATGGGGAGATCAACGCTACTTTCACCAAATTTTGTATATCTGGTGTAAAATAATGTCAATATATAAGTGTATCCTATCTGAGGTAGATGTACTAACTTTAGTCGCTTACTTTTTTCCTTAATATAGTATTGTTATGTGTATATATTCATGTGTATGTGCGCGTGTGTGTGTATAGGTGTGTGTAAGAGAGAAAGTGTGTGTGTATGAGTATAATTTTGCAAATAGTATAATTCGCTGCAGCCCACGGCCGGTGTTCGAAAACTGGCGGTTCCCGGGGTTCACCCAGCCTCTAGGTAATGGGTACCAGAGTTTCGACGACGACAATTCTTATCAGCTGTCCGTACTGGTGGCAGAGCACTTGTAATGATGCTAAAAATAGGGATAACGTCAGGGTATGACTGGCATAATTGGGTAAGTCCCTGATAGCATGGGTTTCACGGAGATATGGTGACAAGACAAGAGTGAGTGAGTCACTTGTAAATGCAAGATCTGGTGGATTGAGAATGAGGTGATCATTCGGTGACTGGGCCCCAGATTGGAAGGATGTAAAGCTGAATCTGTGAAGGTGAATCCAGAGTGAGAAGTGCACACGTGGATCTGAATCAGAGTCGAATGAATGTTAATGCTGAACGACAAGAAAGGCAGCGCTACTGAATGATAATTTATGCCAGCCGTTGTGTTTCACGGTATGTTTGTTGTGCCAGCCGTGTACATGCCAGTGTCCATCGTCTGAAGCCTGGCTAGAGACTCAAGGCGAGATTGCCCGAACGGCGTAAGTCAGTTCATCTGTTGATTTGTGTCGCTTGGGTTACTTTGACAATAAACATTTGAAATGCATCTGCTGTTGTCGACCGTTGTTCAAAGTTGTGTGGCCGTGGAGAGAAGTGCCGTCTGGCTAGAATGAACTGTGACCTAACACCTAGACAACAGAGTCAGTGTTGAATCTGCACGAGAGAGATTGAGTGTGGAGGAAACACATTACAGCACTTTATAACCGTGTGCAATGACGCTGGTTCACATATCCCGACTTTACCTTTTTAAATAATAAAATACTGTAATTTAATGAATATCCAGAAATTCTTGTTGATATGCAAAAGTATATGTTTGTTATACGGATATTTATGTATGTATTTTGAATTTCTATGACTTCATAAAAGCTTTTGATAGCTTGCATAAAACATCACTTTGTGGATTTTTGAAATGCTGTGTTATACCACCATTCAAAGTATTTAAATTTTTTGTTTCAAATAAAAACTTGCTGACACTAATTGGACTGAGAAGACATGTGTATTCTTAGAATTGGATAGCAGTATGTATCAAGTAAAAAAACAGTAGGGTAAGCACAAAACTTGTTATGTCAATAATCTTCATATGTGTCTAACATCCTTGAATGCTGTGTGATTTTATTAATACTTTGTTGTAATACTGACATTTAAATAGCTAACCTTTATTTTGATATGTTATGTGTCCCGATACAGCCAATAATTTTTCTCCAGGAAGGTTTTAGCTTTGTGGTATTGTAGTAAAAAAATTTGTTCTTAAATTTAATTTCTTTTCTTTACCTCATAAAATATGTGGTCCTGAAAGAGTTAAAAAACGAAGTAAAAACCAACGAAAACACCATAATTACGAAATTAACGCTATGGTATTCATAGTTTAATTCCAATGCAATGTCGTACAAAATAATTAAATCAAAATGTAAAAAAAAAAATTGGAATTATATTAATATTCAACGTAACCATGCAAACAGAAACTTAGAAATGAAATCGTAGTATGCAAAATGGTCAAATTTAATGATCAACTGGTTTACCCGCACACCTACTGTCGTTTTTTCGTATTTAGGGTCTCACGGCTAATTCTATCTTCACGACTTTGCAGGTAAACATTTTTTTTTCTACTAGGTTTAAAAAAAAAATATATCAAACGCTGTACCAGGAATACAAACCTGGGTTTCTCGCATGAGAGCCCAGCGTTCTAACCGTACGGCCAACCAACCGCTTCTCCAAAAACCAGAACTGGGGAAAAAGGCACTATTTAAGGGGTGTGTCCCGACTACTGTGTCTCGATTCTAACACAACTCAAAAACGCAAGCAATTGTTTGCTCAAAGACAGATATCCTAGAAATAACTTCAAGTAGAGAAACGTCACCGCAGTGTTATTGGATTATGAATATGTACCTCGCTGGCGGGTGTTAAAAAAAGTGGTGCGTCCCGAATACTGCGCATGCGCGTGTACGAACAGGGTAAGGTCTAAATGAAAGGTCACTGTTAGAGAAAAAAAAAATTAGTTTCGAAAATTGTCCCAACAAATTTTGACACCGATTTCAAACTACGACAGTTAGCATCTCTAAATCAAAACAAATTCATTCTTCAAATTTTAGCTAAATCGGTTCAGTAGTCTCTGAGTCAATAGGTAACAAACAACAAACGTTGCTTTTTATATATATATACAGATGCCAAACAAATTTTTCACAAATTTCTACTGGAAGGGTCAAAACGACAGGGACTTATGATGAAGATTTTGACGACAAAAAGATCTCCCAAAGCGACGTGCCAGTGCTCGTGTTAATGATACGTATTTCTTCTCCTTCTCCTGCTCCTCCTCCTGCTGCTGCTGCTGTTTCTTCTTTTTATTCTTCTTCTTGTTTTCTTCTTGTTTTCTTCTTCTTCTTTGCTTATCGGCTCTAAGCTCCGACTGACCTTGTGTTTTGCGTGT